TTCTGGTCTTCTATAGGATAGGACTTCTAGACTTCTTTTGGAGAAAAATCTCTCATCGTCTTCGAGATAACTCTGTCATCTTCACATAGAATATGAGAAGGAGAAATCTCTAATCTTCTACGGGAGTGGTGACCTTCTGATATTATTTGGGAATAAATCTTCTGGTCCTTTAATAGGATAAACTTCTACTTGTCTATGGAAGAAGAATTTTTGGTATTTTATCGAAGAAGACATGCTGGTCATGTATAGAAGAAGGCCTTCTTATCTTCTATGGAAAAATCTTCTAGTCTTCTGTGAAAACAGAAAATAGAAAAGAATCCTCAGATTTTGATGCCCGTTTTAAAAGGATCTTCATTTACATAGGCTAAAAACTAATTTTTTGCCTTTGCTTATCTACATCTAGGAGGTTTGGAATTTAAAAGAGGATATATCGGTCCACGATTTGGTATAGCCAACATATAACGCTTCCCATTTATATAATTTATAGATTTAAGCCACATTTTCCCACCGAAGTGACTGGTGGTTCCATGTACTGTCATAGCCGGGCTTCCACGTTTCTATGGAAGAAAACTTGTTGGTATTATATCGAAGAAGGCATTTTGGTATTGTATAGAAGAAGGTCTTCTGATCTTCTATGGGAAAAGATATTCTGGTCTTTTATGAAGGAAGACCTCCTGGTCCTCTACAAAAGAATACCTTTTAGTCTTCTGTGGAAGAAGACCGACCTACTGGTTATCTGTGGCACTTCAATCCTGGTCTACTATGGGAAAATACCCTCTGGTTCTCAATGGCAGAAGATCTTCTGGCGGAGAAACCTTCTAGGAGGAAAACATTCTGGTATTTTATCGACGAAGACATTCTGATTTTCTATTGAAGAGAAGAATTAACTGCGAAAGAATATCTATTGGTTTTCTGTGTAAGAAAACTTTGCGGTCTTCCGGTCTTCTTAAAAGGATTTCCCATAGGTTTCCCATAGGTTTTCTAAGTTCATAAGACATTTTTAACTACTTATCTTCTATAAGGGAATAAGTTTACTCTTGTTTGGTTTATTTGCTGGTGTTTTAACGCTATTCTCCATACCAACCTCGTTTGAAAACAAAAATAAATCATAAAAATATGTTCCAGTACTTTACATATTTGCTCTCTATATAATTGTTTTAAAAAATACCATACCATGCTATACACCATCAAATATAAAAATCACAAAAAAGGTGACACTCCTGCATTTTTTATATTGACACAGGAGTGATAGATGGCTGGCTGAGATGCTGAGCAGAGCGTTGTCATCATTGACGTTGGCGGTGCGACGCGGTGTTTGATGTCATCGTTGATGACATTCCTAGAATTTGTTCGCTTTTGCCATGCCCAGGCAAATAAGAGCCATGGTTATTTTAAATCGAATCAAATCGAATCCCATTCAATCAAATTGTTGGCAAATTACATTCGTAGTCGTAGCTCTTGCCCCGCGCTGTTCCCCGTTGGACGATGCTGATGTTGGTTTTAATTTTCCACTTTTCAGATTTTTTTGTTTATTTTGTTTTCATTCCGTCAGTGTTCTTGTTGTTGTTTCTTTATTTTTTATTTTTTGTTTCGTTATTGTGGAGCTCTGTTTGGTTTGGGATTTAGTAAATTGAAATGACAATTTCATTACGGCCACAACCAATTTTTGTTTTTAGTTTGAAAATTGAATTTTTTAGAAATGTTCATTTTTATCAATTCTATATTCGTTGTGGAGCCAATGAAGGTTGCTGACTGTTTGTTGCAGATATGTTGCATATACAGATGTTCCTTTTGAAAAATTGCATTCGAATTGGAATAGATGTAGAATTTTTCAAGTTGCATTTTTTCAGATTAGTTGGATTATGGGCATGATGAAGGATTTGCATAATATGTACAATTCTAAATATCCGAGGGGAAATTCAGACTATTATTCACAGTTTAGAGGTAATTAAGAGAAAAACTGGAAAATTTTAATTCAATAAAAAAGAGAAAAAATACAATTTAAGGTATTTCGTGATGGCAACTAGGTGTAATGCTACTTTTGATCTTTATGAATTTCCTTTTTTACAAAAATATGTCATTTGAAATTAATTAGCCTCACTTCCATGATATCAACAATTTCAAATCTTTATTATGTAATATTTTTTCATCATAATCAAATCAAAATATGTTACATATAAACATGACAAGATAACTATCTGGACTTTTGTCTTATTCAGAACAAAAAAAGTAAACTTCTGGACAAATTTTGAAACTCAATACTATAAATAAAACACAGCAATGGAACAGCAACCCTTAATCAATTAACCCCTCATAAAAGAAATCCCTTAGGAATTCCCACACGGCTTCAAACAGTAAAATGCACAACAAATACATTTCTCTTGTGGGAGAGGGGGTGAAGGGTGGCTTGTAATTTATCTTAAAATGGTAATCGGATATTTTTTGGTGCTTACAACAAAAAATTCATACATTTGGCATTAGAGATAAGACATATCTGGTATGGTAACTGGTAGTCTATTTGTAATGTTTTGCTCATGCATCCTGATGGCGGAACCGGGAGATGCGCATCTGTTAGCAACACTTGAAGCCAACTTATCTCAGGCTTTTTATCTACAATTTATTTTGATTTACACCAAAGATTGTTGCTCATTTGGTTGTTGACTTGCTTTGCCTTGTTCATGCCTATAATTTTTTTGCCAGGTTTATGCCTATAATTTTTTGGGGCGGGAAAACGCGTTAGACATTAAATCATAATAAAATTATACAAAAAAGAGGAGGTCTCATTAAAAATAGGGCCAACATATTAATTACCGAGTTCGACTTTTTTCTATAATGACTCAATTACTGAAATCCTATTTTTCTATAAAAAACTATGTTTTTTAAATGCCAAATTATTTTTATAAAAAAACTCGTCAATAATTTAGGTCACAGATTAATCTTATATAGAAAAAATATTACCTATAAATATGGGGCCCAAATTTTAGCAAAAAATAATCCCTAGGTACTGAAGTCCAATTTTTTCAATGCTGGGTCATTGAGTACATTTTTTCATTAATAGAGAACATCCTCTGTTATTGACAATATTTTAAACCCATATTTTATTTTCTGTTTCTGAGGAAAATATTCATAAAAACCAAAATCCGTAGTCTTCTAACAATTTCTTTCTATAGAAAAAGAATCTAAAATAAAGATTTATTTTTCATAGAAATAAATCCGCATTTTTTATATTTAAAAATCCAATTTTTTTCTAAATCAAATCTTAAAATTTTCCCAAATACTCAGTTTTTAGGCCCATTTTTTACTGTTCTTAGTAATCCTTAATTACTTAAGCCCAATTTTTTCCAATTACCAAGGTCTATTAACTATTTTCCCTAATGAATAAATAATGGGGAAAATAGTCAATTGCAAGGCTCCCAGAATAAATCCACAAATACTGCACCCCATTTAAAAAAAAATGTTTTGTTAGATTCGCTGTGTCCCAATCATCATCAGTTTCTGAGGAAAATTTTTCTTTAAGAAAAATCCTCATTAACCGATGCCTCATTTTTTACAAGGTTTTGTACAATATTCCCTAGTTTATGCGCATTTTGTCTTCTAAAGAAGTAAAACTGTGGTAGTCGGTTTTGCCGACAGATATATACCCTCAGTCTATGATTTGCGAAGGTATACGGAATTACACACAGGTTTTGTAAACCGAGAAGATACGAGAAGGAGTGGACCAATGGGTCCCATATTCGGACTTCATCTAGGCTTGGTAAATGTAATAGGTTGTGCAAAGTTTGTTTCATATCGGACATTACATTCGACTAAAATTGGATTTTTAAATATTGAACATTTTAACAATTTGTGCGGGAGGTACCAGAGGGAGTGGAGCAACGTGTCCCATTTTTGGACTGGATCTAGGCTTGGTAAAGATTGTACAAACTTGATCTGGGCTTGGTAAAGATAATAGGTTGTACAAAGACTGGTTCAAATCGAATAGTCCGTTCCTATGATATTACAAAATTAGTTTTCAGCAAAATGTTGACCACTATGTGTGGGTGGTACCAGAAGGAGTGGACCGATATTCCTCATCTACGAATTTGAACTAAGTTTGAAAGAAATATTACAATGTGCTAAGTTTGGGTGAAATCGGTTACTCTCTTCGAGAGTTATCGTGCCGGACGGACATTTGCAAATCGACTCGAAATTGTCTGAAACGGATTCGGTAAAAAAACATGGCGTCTAAAAGCAAAATTTAGGCCCCATGTTTTGTCATAGCCAAAGTGTATAAACCCTCATTGCCTGGGGTTAGGACTTTGTTCCTGAGGATATTTAAACCCTTTAAATGTTTCGTTCCATTTGAAACACTACGAAATATTCGTCGAAGACCCAGAATATAATTCAAAGTCTACTTAGCCATGCCCGTCTGTCAAAATTACTTTGAAGATCCCAATATTTAAGACAGAGATTTGAAAATGTATACATAGAGCTTCGAAAATGTATACATATATAATGCTACTACCCCTAGGAAGTTTGGAATTTAAAATAGGATATACCGGTCCACGATTTGGTATAGACTCCATATAGCGGTTCCCATTCCTGTAATTTATAGATTTAATTCACGTTTCCCATCGAAGTGGCTGGTGATCCCCCATGTAAGAGTCACGCTTGAAGTGTGTTACCTTGAAGTGTGTAGCCCCGTTTTCCAATCCGATTACATATTGCTTCCTGGAAGACCTCTCCAAAAATTATTTACGAAAATACATTGCAAAAAAATTCCAAGGCATTTTGCTTATATTTCAAATTCCTTATATCGGTAGGGTCGATTATATGGGCACTACCATATAATCGATATATAAGGAATTTGAAATGCCCCACACATGGTAAGCAAAATGTCTTCAGAGCCCAACACCCCGAGAATTTTTTTGCAATGTATTTTCGTAAATAATTTTTGGAGAGGTTGTTTTCCATTAAAATTGTTCTTGGAAAATTTAATTGTAAAATCATCTTGTACTTACATGGATGCGTTGCAGCAAACGGATATTCCAGTGTTGGTAAACGTGGCGGATGTGGACCACATGGATGTAGAGCGGGCGGACATTGATAGCAAAACATGCCTCTTCCCGCGGCAGCAGGACCCAACTGAAAAGAAATACAACACAAAAAAATGAAGAACTATTAAATAAATGATTTTATTTTCATAGATTGTGTGTTTGTGTGAGTGTGTATGGCACACAACTTAAACAAGCTGCCTCCAATCACGCTTTCTAATGTTACCATTTGAATCAATAATAATTTGTATGCAATTCAATTGATATTCAATTACAAAGCGACTTTGCTATTGTCGTCGCTGCCTGCCTGACTGCCAGCCTGCATGCGGCAAAATATTAAAGTCATTTTAAAAGGGAAATAAAAAATAGAGAGAGTGGAAAAACAAAATTACATCAATAAAAGGCGGCTAGATGCCGATATGCATCCATCCAAGACACAAACGGTAGAAAGATGAGGGAATGGGAAAGGGGTTTGTGGAAGATGCCAATATATACGGGTGCCTATAACTCAAACCACACACAGAGTCTAAGTGCGGCAAACTATTGCATTTGAAAAATTCATTTTTTTTGCTACAAATGAAAAGCGGCATTGCATACGCCCAGTTTTCTTGCTGCCGTTGTTGTTTTTGTTTTGTTGTTATTATCATCGTCAGTGAGTTAATATTGTCAATTGCACCTTTAATTCGATTCAATTAGAATCAATTATGGTCTCGTCGTCTTCTTCGCTTTTTATTTCAATTCATTTTTTCTTTTTTCATTTACATTGAGTTATGACAAATAAAAACAATATTTTACTACCCGTGCCAGTTATAATAGCAAAGTTATGATTGCCACTGTAAAGTTTTGTCACAATCATTATTAAGATAAATGTATGAAAAAAAGAAACAACAAAAACTTAATGAAAAAAAGAAAAATAATGAATACAAAGGGGGAGAAGTTGTAAACCCAAATGAATATGGAAAAAGGGTTGAGAGCTCCAATTGTTGTTGTCGTTAGTTTTTATCATGCATTTTTTTTGTTTCTTGTCTCATTTGTAGTTGTTGTTATTGGTGTAGTTGTTGGTTGCATTTTTATTGCTGGACAATGAATTGATTAAATTGTCCTCAAACAAAGCAATTGCTTTAAATTAATTTCATTTCTTCTTTTTTCATAGCGCAGTTGCTGCCAATGTTGTTGTTATTGTTGTTATTGCATATGAAATTATTTATATGCATTTTATAAATTTTTTACATTAATTTATTTACAATAGATAGGGAAAAAATCGTTGTGTTTTGAAAAAGTGGAAATGTTTTTTGTTTGCAATTCTAATAAAATAGTTTCAAGCGATTCTATTACATTCAAGGGAAGAGATGTGGGGAATATCGAAGCATTCAAAACGTGCTGATGATTTTTTTATTTTATTTTTATAAATTCCGGTAGAAAACATTTCTTTGTTTTTAATTATAATAATAACGGCTTCATTGTATATAAACCAAATTTTAATAAAGTGTATAAATAAATTATCCATATATAATAAAACGACTTCTTTAGCACATACATATATAATCATGTAGGACATTTATAAACAAATATGGATTTCCTTCAGGATATATACGAAGAATGTCCTTACCTCATATATAAGCGCACTTTCTGCTATCCTCCATACATTTGTACTTTAATTCAGGCCATCTATCTATATGAGGTCCCCACAAAAAATATTCAATATAACGGGGGACATTAATATACCCAATTTTCTTCAATATAAACATTTTTATTTACCGAGGGCCAATTTTGTTATGTTTTAGTTCCAAATTACAGCGAATTCGGTTGAAAACGCTTAAAAAACCCAAAAGTAACGAAAAAGGGTGATACCGTTATATGGGGGCTATCTAAAAAAGTTGAATTCTGTTTGTATACCAACTATGTTGTCTAGGGTAAAAACTTTTTTAATCTGATTTTCTGGTCGCTCCAGGGGCCGCAATTATGGTCCACACGTCGCAAATTTTTACATGGAGAAGCGGTTAGGGACAAAGAATAAGCAAGTCTGTTTTAATAAAGATTGGTTAATATTTAGCGGGCCAAATTGACCCAGACTTGTGTGTGAAAAATTACAAAAATTACCGTGAAGGACATAGACCCGAGAATTTGATAGTATATCCAAGAGGAGTGGTTGACCTTTAAATTGGTACCAATTATGTTGTCGTAGGTACTCGGATGCGGGAGTTACACTTAAATATTTACAGGTGCTTACGTATTCAGATACTATTTAGTAGCTCATTAATATTAGAGGGCGGAAATATAGCGCTGATCGCTTTGAAAATGTGCTTGAGGATCCAGGTATGGTCAATGATAACTCCTATAATTATCGTTGATGATCAGATACAAATGCTGGTATGACGTGGACCGAATACTTAATTTGTTTGTGTTTTTTCTAGTCGATCTTTAGACTACAATTATAATACGAACATCACAACACAAGCCACGTAGAAGGGAATCTGAACAAGTAATTCGATGGGCTGTACTGAATATTAGTAAAATTTGTTGACCTCTAGTCGGTCAAGTGGATGAAACTATTACGAAATATTGTCCAGGCTCGTATTAAAAATCCGCAGAAAGTTAGTGTTCCATTGTAGTTGTGTAGGGTATCGTATGGTCGGCCCCGTCCGACTATACAGCTCCGCTCACTGATTATAATTTATTTAAAAAAAATTGGTACTTAAGAACTCAGAGTACCTACTTATAGCGAATTCGGATGAAAAAATATGCTCAGACCGGGAGATATCATTACAAAGGGGGCTACCAAAAAAAAAAAAATAAATAAATAAACCTATATCTATAACTTTTAGTGGAGAAATTTGGTACCAAATAAGCAGCCAATTTAAAAAAAAATCAGCGAATTCGGTTGGAAAACGCGCTCAGGAACCCCAAAATACCCCCAAAAATAAAATTGGGGGGTTCCCTTATTTGGGCCCTATGCCTAAACGTGATCATATATATATATATACTTTGAGGATCGGAAATTATTATTTGGATGAGTTACAAACGGAAAAACAAACTCAATATACCCTCCATACCATTGTGGAGGTTATAAAACCCTCAATTACTATACCCACCCAATTTCAGATCTATCAGATCAACATGTAATATATAACGCCTCCCTCAGCTATCCTATAAAGTATTCCCTTCAGCATGTATATGAAAAAATTCCTTCAAATTGCCTTTGAGAGACTCTTTTTAGTTCGCGCCTATGAAATCATCTCTTAAGCTTATCTATGGAAAGAACTCTCTCCAAACAAATGCTTTCTTAACTAGTCTCGGTCTCCCTTAGTCCGCATATGGTTGGTTACCCTCAAATATTGTGTTGAAACAAAGAATGACGTACATAGGATATGACAAAAGGCTATTGATTACATGAAGCCTCTTGGAAGACATGTGTTCACCTGTATCTTGTCATTAAAAACACTCCTTTGGCTCGTTTATTAAGGGGGCGGAACTATTGTGCACTTCTAAGGAATGACTTTCTTCAGTTCGCCTACACTCTTCTTCTCTCTAGCCTGTGTACGGAAAAAAAACTATTTTCAGATTGTTTATGAGCGACTCTTCTCAGCTCGATCATAAATATCACTTTCCGTCGTATATTAAGGACTCCACCTTCACCTCCGTATCAGTTATGATGTTTTATAAATAATTCTATATATTTTAATTAAATTAACACAATCCTACGTTTACTTTTTTTCTATATTTCATATATTCTGGAATATAACAACAAATGCATGTCAAATGATTTATTTCCCCACCTATAAATAATAATTTTAGATTATGACCCCATCATCCGTTTGCAATATTTTTTGGCATTCGTTCATTCGAATAATGGAATATAAATTATGTATAGGAAATTAATTCAGATGATGCTGTTGCTGCTGTAAATAAATGCCATGTCATTAAAATGTCAACTTTGTCGACATCCAACTCTCATCAATGGCTAACAATTGGGCCTCAACAAACTCTACACTCCGATCCAATGAATTGAATGAAACTCCATTGTATAAAACTCTAATGGTCCATATAGTCAAAGCCAATTTAGTACAGGAAAATGTCTAGGTGTATGAGTGTGTGTGTGACTACCATCATCTAAATCAACATTATGAAATTTTCATTTTGCAACAAATTAAACTCGGTTCATGTTCATTCATTTGTTTAATGAATTTTATAGAAAAAATACATCCATTTGCCCATCAACCAACCAACAAAGCATTCACATTTCCATTCCCTTTCCCCAAGTGTCCTTTTAGCTATTTGGATGCTAAAACATTAGCTGTAACCAATAACACCACATAAGGACCGGGAAGGACTTGGCGAGAGGTAGGATGAGGTGGGGCTAGCTAACCAAATGCTATAACTATTTGTAGTTGTAAAAATTATGCAAAATTTACTCATGACACTTTAACTCTAATGGAATTTTATATCCTTTATTATTATCCTGTATTTGGTTGGCTACCCGGGCACACTGACACACACACACACACACACACCCCTCATGCTCTAACTAAATATTGTTACACTTTTCCCATACACTCTCCCCTATATATATAAAGTTGTACCATAATAAGCTGTGGACCTCAGGTGCTCTGGTAATATGAAACCAAAATAAATGTTCTCTACGAGCACGATTGCCGTTCTTGTTTTCATGGTCCTGGCTGCTGCTCCTGCCGTTTGGTTTATTTTTGTAAATTTTATGGCGTGTGACCACAATACTTGGCTTTATGGTGGAGTGATGGAAGTGGAACACCAATGTGATAAAGTGCCCACCAATTGCAGCCCTTGTAGTTTTGCTTTGTAGCCGGGACTCAGCTGTGCTGCAAACATTTTCCCATGGTGTTGGGGAGAGACGAGACGTTATACAAATGTTGCCAGGTGTACATGATTTTTGTTGGGGGTTCGTGTTCCCTTATCGGTAGGTGTTAAATAATTAGTTTTTAGTTGATTTCAAATGAATAGCTGATGCCCATTTACATAGATTTGTTGTATTAGTGCAACAAATTGAAATTGAGCGAAAATGTAATGCCAATTTACGGTTGGACATTATAGGCTGTCGTTGATAGCCAGTCATTC